CAGTTTATATTCGCTTTTGGAAGGCCTACAAAATTGGTAATGGAAAACTAGTAACAATGGACTCTCTACTGAAAAACGAAAAACCACAGCAAGAAACTAATCCTGTCACTGGCCCCTACAGTGTTCCTGCTGTGGAGACTGGATCACTTCGTAGGGCAGGATCTTCTTCAGCGAATATAAACTGTACAGACGTAAATTGTGTAAAAGTTTTTACCACTCAAGAAGAACTTACTCGCCATATAGCTGGAGGAAAACATGTTCTAAAACCAGTACGTGAGACTAAATTGGATAAAATCAAAAGAAAGTGGGCCAAAGAACTGTTCATTCTATTGAAGAAGGCGGTGAACCTGTACTGGCTATGAAACCTGGGTGGGCTCTGAAAACTACGGCCAGTCGTAAACGGTTCTCCGACAAAGTAAAGGACTTTTTGCTACAAAGGTTCATGATAGGGGTCGAGACTGGCAAAAAGGAGGTGAATGAGTGATATCTGAAAAAAAATTGACAGTTCCCCCTGATACAGGAGTCATTCTATCAAACATTTCTAGTTCATTCGAGCAAATTTATGGTTGATATGGCGATTAAACTATGCGCATATATAGTGAACAACCAATTCACTATCGGTCAAAATTTCGAAAAAGGGGTAACTTTAAAAATTATTTCTGATAATGGGACAAGAGTGGGCAAAAATTTTATTGTTGATTTTGGTAGCACTAGTACCCCTCTACATAATTACCGTTTACCCATCTTGCCCATACCCGTACCATCGGCTATATTTAATTTCAAAGATAGGGTACTTTCAAGGTGATGGGCGACACCTATTAGTGGTTTCCATACTATGTCTCAGAGACATAGAGCAACATAAATTGGTCATGATGCTTGAATAGTCGAAGACATATACTATCATCACCTACCATCAGTATATCACACAGTCCCTATTTTGGCCTGGAAAAATGACTCTAAATATGCCTAAATTTTGACTCAAAATCGGTGAAAATAGGCTGAAAATCGTTATAGGGCCATGTCTCCCGAATGGTTAATTTTTGAGATCGGCCCTTTTGGTCAACAAGTAGTCTAGTCGGACTGATTAATTCCTGTGAATATGGATCCGAAGTGCCGACCCCCCACCTTATCACTTTTGCAGGATTTTGCATGGTTTTCTCGTGGAGTGACACTTAATAACACTTAAAAATCAAATATCCCCTACTTTTTTTGAATAGTATATAAATGAATTTATAACAATCTGATTAAAACACAGATCCAATTTCGGATCTGGAAGCGTTGTTATTTAACTCGTGTTCTGCTTGAAATGAGGGGTCAGCCAATCAAATGGTCTGTCGAATCGAGCGTTTGACCATTTTTACGCGAAACTGTGAGTAGACATTAGCGGCAATAGAAATCAAAACAAAGCAAAAGTAGATAAAAAATACATGGCGGTCGCTAATTGGTTAATCGAATGACCGAATAATCGAGTCAAATGTCGCTTGCTTGGTACCTGACGTCATAGAACGTGAACTCCCACTATAACTTGTTAGATCTACATTTATTGTAGGCCATCGAAAATATAAAAAACGAAATGAAATATAGATCTATATTTTAATTAGATTGAATTTATAATTGACTTAAAATCTTTAAAAGGAATGTAAAATTTGGATATGGGAAGATCTAAAGCAGACTTGGCAGCCGAGTCTGCTAGATCTTTCCTTTTAATATCATTAAGATTGGGGAGCCAGCAGGGCTCGGCTCACACTGTCGGTCGCCAAAGTGGCAATTTGCGATAAAAATATGTAAGTTGCGATTAAAATTTGATTTGGGTTATAATTATGGCGATAATGTTTTGCGGTACTGGCGATTCTTTTTGAGAACTGGCGGAAAAAAATCTTCAAATTCTAATCATATTTATCCTGGATTAACCATCTTTATTAAGTGTCAATCAACTGGCTGATAATCTGGATGGCATCAACGAGTAATACTAATCAGTTGTCTTGAATTAATGATTAGTTGATTGATAATTGCCAATGATATATATAAAGCCTATCTCAGGTCATCATTTACTCCTAATGATTAATCCAAGTGGTGATTATTTGATGTTTCGTTTCGTCTTAAAAAGAATGGTAATACATGTAATCAAAATGGCCGACAGTTCCTTTTGAAGAGAATTAATTATTTTGATACCTGAATTCCGTTTACAGTCATTTCATATACAGCATGTAAAATATACAAGCATGCATATTGGATATCATTATTTCAAATTATATTATTATCACTGGTCGAAAATGTAAGAACGAATTGAATAGTGACGATTCTTGAGCGAGAAAACAGTTCGCAATTTGTATCATATTACCATCGCCAAAATGCTCTAAAACAGTAAACGTTAATGACGGGTATAATTGTAAGCATCTTTTACAAATATAATTGAAATTTATATCATTCTGTCAGGGATTTCAGATTCTGATACCTCTACGGTAACTGAAAATAACAATTTGCCCCATTGTACACCCAACACATAAATTTATAGAAAATTAAATGGCAATCCCTGGATGAGATTTCACGTGTAAATACTGAAAATATATTGTGCAGTACGGTGCTCAAATAGACTAAAGTCACCAAAAATAAAATCTGATCTTATTAAATCCAAACTAATCTATTATGTAAAGACAAGATTTTTAAAGTTGTTGTATATTGTATTGTATATGTCGGTAATTTTTTTTATAATAAGTCTAGCTGAGACATAACATTGTTAGATGTTGTCTTTTTTATCACACATGGGGGGTTGGATGGCTGAATGGTTAGCGTGCGCACGCTGTATCATAAAGTCTGTCATTGAGTCGACTGGTGTGGTTTCAAATCCCCGGTTGTACGTGACAAGGAGTAGGGTCGCCTGTCCAACCTCATGGGTTTTCTCCGGGTCCTCCGGTTTCCTCCCACTGCTAAAGACCCCTACGAGCAAGCGAATTATTGAAATAAAATTAAACCATATGTTAGTCCCAAAATGACCTAGTTTGTGTCGAGTGGACGTTAAACCCCATTTCTCTCTCTCTTTTTATCGCAAATTTTTGGCAGATAAAATATTCCAGTTGCTCAGGTAAAGTTGGAGATGTGGTCACAAATATACAATATTAACATTTGGCAAGTTTTATACAATGCGTCTATTCAGAATAACATACCAACCTGGCATTTCTTTTGCTGCTGAGTATATATGTAAGATAGATTTTAGTGTATACAAATACAGTTCTCATTTGATATTGACATAAAAACAATTATTTGTTTGTGTTGTTGTCATGAGTATAACAGATACATGTATTACTGAAATTTATCGCCTGAACTTTTTCCCCCTTGGATAAATTGAATCATTTCTTCAATAAGGAGACGCGTCTTTGGAACAAAGTATGCTTTGAGAATTTTGAGAAGTAATTTTTTTAGCTACGTAATGGAATTGAAAATATAGTTATTTAGTTTTTCTGTGTATGAAAGATGTAAAAGATATTGGAACTGCATAACAAAAAGCACCCTACTATTTCAATGTGGTGGCCATTCAGGGTAGAGATTTAATCTCAACGTAGATAGTTTTCTGTTACAGAATGTATGAAATGCATGCTGTCATCTTCATGCAGTCAAAATTTGACTTATCTTTTCATTTATTTATGAAATCATTTATACTTTGGATCTAATGTGTAGAATATGCACATATATAACATATATTTCCTTGTTGGTCACTTTTTGCAATACTTTGGGCGTTGTTGCCAACAGAAAAACAACCACTCTTGTCACAATTAGTGGGACTGTTTTTGTTAAAATTGCGATTATCCATAGCTAATATAGATCAAATTCATTTATGACGAATAACAACCACTCTTGTCACAATTAGGGGGACTGTTTTTGTTAAAATTGCGATTATCCATAGCTAATATAGATCAAATTCATTTATGACGAATATTCAAATACAGAATTTCTGCAATGGAATATTCAAATACTCAGGTCAAACAGTCATCTGGAAGAGTTAAGACACCAATCAAATTTTAATTACTGATAAGTACTTCTCCTGGTCAGTTTTTAGTGCCATTTAAATGCTTCCATCACATATTTAACAATAAATATGAGAAAACCACTGTGGACTGCTTGGACGACTTTGCTGCTGTGGGTGTATATTTCTTTGCAACCTATCTTTAACTTTAATAGATTTTTCAAATTTGATGTGAATCATTGGGGTCATGAGTGGATGAACCCTATTGAATTTGTCAAATTTTGTGTGAAGCAATGGGGTTATAAGAGAACGGACCCTATGGATTTATAGCACTCTGCAACCTTCAGTTCCTGAGTTACCCCACCTTTGCTCAAAACCTTTTTAACACGTTTGAGTCTGTTTTTTTAACCAATTTTCTCCAAATTTAATGGAAAGGGAGAGAACAAACCCTATTTAATTTTATACGCCTACATTTTCATGTGGACGTATTATGCCGTTGTCCCAGTCCGCTTTTGTTTTTAGCTTGTTCTTTATCTATCTCTTGCAAAATGTGGGCGTATCTTGCTGGAAATGGCTGGTTTGATATCTTTCATATGAAGGCTATCGATATTCAGTTTTATGCGACCTTCCATTCTTGAGTTAACTCCCCTCTTCCTAAAACCTTATTAACTTGATAGAGCCTATGATTTTTTTACAAATTTCGTGTGAGGCATTAGGGTCATGAGAGGATGAATCCTATCGATACTTAGCCTTCAGTGATATTCCGTTCTAGACTCAATTGCCCTGTTTTGAAATCTTTATTATCATGTTAGAGAAGAGACAACATTTTTTTTTAAAATTTGGTGCGAAGCATTAGGTAGGACTGTGAGGGGATATATTATGATTCGGGAAGAGATTGTGAACATGATAGAGATTAGATTTCTCGACTGATCCAAGTTTTCCTTTTGGATAAGCTGCAGTTGAGACATAGCTGCTGTAGGGACATATTTCTACACTTATTTAAAATAAAAACAGAAATCACTAATATTTATATTTACAGTATTTTAATAATGAAAAGTTTGAAGCTGAACGATATGATAAGTTTTTGAAGAATTATGAAGTAGCATCTTTAAAAACGACAACTAGTCTTGCATTATTAAATTGGGGCCAAAATGCTATATTTAGTGTAGGTTTGACTTCTATCATGTATATGGCTAGCACAGAAATAATTGCAGGTTTGTTCACTTTTTACATTTTCATATGGATGTATATGTCGTGCATGTCAATCTGTCCAGCCATCTGTTCATATGTTTATATCCCAAAGATCTTGTATGTGTTCGATTTTGGCATGTATTGGAAGGTAACATCATGGGTAATTGCCCCTGATTGTACAAAAAATTCACGGTTTTAGCTTCTAGGATATGCATAAATTATGCAAGTTGCTGAAATTTAATTATACATGTCAATATATGTGAATACAAAATATGCAACTGCAAAGATATTGTTTATTCAGAGTTTTAGGTATTATTATTCCAAATACGTTTTGCAATTATTGTTGAGAATAGAGTATGGCATAAACAAACATGCCTGTCATTGAAAAACCGACTATCCATCACCAGTGGCCAGTTCATTTGAAAATGGATTAAGAGCCTTGTTCCAGAGGTCAAAATTTTTATCCAATTTTGATGAAACATTTTCCAAAGATTTTTGCGCTTATTAGACTGTTACTCCCTAGATTATGGCCCCTGAATATATGAAAAATCACGTTTTTAAATGCCCACATTTCCATGTAGATGTATATTGTCGTTGCCCCTTTCCATCCACAATTTCTTTGTGGACACTCTACAGGACATAATTCTTACCGGAATTTGACGAAACTTGAAATATAGGTCTATCTCCAAACTTTTAGCTTGGGACCCTCTAGAGGTCACAGTTTATATCCGATTTAAAAAAAGACGTTGAAATGTATCACCGATACACTCTAATGACGGTTGAAACGTGCTAGAAAATAAATGGCCTGCGAAAGAATTAAAGTGTATTAATTACAAAGTTAAGGCATAAGTCCTTATTTATATAAAACGGAGCAAAGACTAATACAAAGAAGCACTTGGAAAAAATGTGACAGCCTAGACGGCGGTCGTCTGCTGTATGACATTACGTAAAGGCGTTAGTTTGCCACTTGAGGTCTTAAGTTAAAATGTATTTTTGCCAACAATAAAAAGGACGAAAATCCAGTTATAAGACTAACTTTGGGTTAAAACTAACAATTTAGGAACAGATAGGTATTATTCAACTGTGTCATTGCACAGAATACAATAAGCCATATACACTGAGAACTAAGTAGGGGTTGATCTGTGCAAGCAGTCCATAGAAATCTCTGTGTGTGGTGTTAAAAGTAGATCTATAGAAAGAAAATTAATTTCCCGATTATTATATAGCATTACCGCTTTAAAATTGCAAATAAGGTGCATTAATTAACAAGAGTGAGAAATTGACTGAGAGGTGAGTTAATTAACACTACTCGTGAAAAACTGTCAAAGGTGTATAATAATCAATGACCAGCAGACTTTATCTCACACTTGCGTGTTAAATCAAAATTTGGGAATTAAAATTTTTTTACCATGGGATTTGTCATTTGACTGTGTGCTTTATGCAGGTCTTTAGATAGGCGTGTGTGCTCATTTTGATTGACGTTTCTCTTATGCGTCTTTTGTATTGCGTACAATAGTGGTGCCAGTCATTATCACATACGTGATAGAACTGGTTAAACACGTTCCAAATATTATTTTATCACAGTGATCATTGCTACTATAGATGTGTAATCAATGCTTGAACAATCGGAAGTGACAAACTAAAGGAAAACACGAGTTATCCCTCTATATAATTGACTGAAGTGACAAGTGATAACCGATACTTGGGCTAATTTCTGCTCACTAATAATTTTTTCGCAGTTCTTGTATTACAACTCAAAATTATCCAGGTCATTGTGGTTTGTATAGAGCATGTGGTAATTATGTGTCAGCTACTGGAATTGTTTTTTTACGACCAATTCAGCTATTTCGATTATTTAAGTAGCCAAAAGGGAATATGAAATTACTAAATAATTATCATAAGCCTTATTAATATTTCATTTTTAAGTCCAATATATAATTTTTTGTGTACCCCATGCTGACAAAGTGGTTTAGACACGTCAAATCACAATACCCTACCATGAATAAAAAACTCCATGAAATATGAATTTACTTTGCAAAGTTTTCGTGCGTTATCAAAAATGACCGGCAGTGAAAATTATGGCCCCTGATTGTACGAAAAATTGTGCTTTTAGCTTGTGGTCCCTCTAGAGGTCACAATTATTATCTGATTTACAAAAACGTTCGAATATATCACTGTTACACCGTAATGTTGGTTGAGTTTTAATTTCTTTAAAAGTGGACCAAAATGTCTGCCCCCCCCCCCCATACGCCAATAGTTTTAACATCTGGTATATCAAGGTTGTGGACCCTCTAGAGGTCACAGTTTTGAACTGATTTTGATGAAACTTGGTTGCTTTCGATATTTGCGCGTACCGGATCGTAACTTCCTGAATTATGGCCCTTGATTGTACAAAATTTAGAGGTCACAATTTTTATCCCATTTAAAAAAAATCGAGTGGGGAACTTTTTATTAACCCTATCGGAACTTCAACGCACATGTGAACGATATCTGGGCAGATCTATTTATCTTGACGATCGGTGCCTGACAGAATACTGTAAGACAGCATTTCCGCAAGTCTATTTTTCAAAATTTTCTGGGGGAGGACTCCCTACTTTGACGCTCGTGAGTGGGCTTTGTCGTGATTCCCAAGTCCATTCGTTTGACACTTTACCTCATCGATCAAATCCTGAAATACTGCCAGGCTGCATTTCCGGCAACATGTTTTTCAAAATTTTCTGGGGGAGGCCCCCTACCCCTAGTTGAAGCTCGTGCCTTTGCCCCCTTAACTTCGGACTTTGCCCCTCCAATCACCTAGGCTGGCACCGCCACTGGACCCAACATTTCTAGAGTAAAATTTTGCATAGAATACAATGCCGAGTGGTAATCAGTACGCCGTTGGGCGTTTTCGAGATATTCAGGGTCAAAGGTCAAATTAGTTCATTTGCTCTGAAATAGAATGCGCAGCCATTTTTGTATCATGAAAAGAAGCTGAAAATGATCAAAAGTAATCACCCTTTCAAAAAAAAATGTAAACTTGCTAAATTCATCTTTGTTCTTTGTGACCCCGGAGGTCAAATGGTGAAATTTTCCGTTTTAGCACTAGGAAAATTTAAATTAATAAATGTCAGCGTGAAATATAAAAACTAAAGCGAACCCTGTTCTAATTAATAATAGGAACATTTAAAATGTATCTTTAGGTGGTCTTTGCAGCAAACTTTTACTTTGGAACGTCGAAAAAGATCTTTCATAACAGAACCAAAACACATCGAAACCTGTTTCAAAAATACGCATATCCAAACGTAACTTCCTGGATTATGGCCCTTGATTGTTCGAAAAATCGCATCTTTAGCTTGCGGATTCTCAAGAGGTCACAATTTTTTTTCCGATTTTAAAAACCGTTTATATCACCATTCCATCATATGAAGGTTGAATTCGAATTTCGGGAAAATTGAAATGAAACTGCCCAACAAAATGGCTGCTCTTTGTACGCAAAGTATGTAATACGAAGGTCACAATTTTTATCCGATTTTGATTCTCAAGAGCTCACAATTTTTTTTCCGATTTTAAAAACCGTTTATTTCACCATTCCATCATATGAAGGTTGAATTCGAATTTCAGGAAGATTGAAATGAAACTGCCCAACAAAATGGCTGCTCTTTGTACACAAAGTATGTAATACGAAGGTTGTGGACCCTCTAGAGGTCACAATTTTTATCCAATTTTGATCAAACTTGAAATGTATGTTCGTATCCCAAAGATTTCGGTTTTGATATTCGTGCATATCGGACCACATCTTTCTGGATTATGGCAACTGATTATTTTTTTAGCTCGTTCTCTGTCCATCTCTTGCAAAATGTGGATGTAGCTTGCATGGCAACCAGTTGTATATGCTATTCCAGTTAATATTCGATTGACTTTAAATTTATACAAAGTGTTTAAGACAAGGTCGTGAGACGAAGAAGCCTATTGATTTTCAGCGATTTCCGATAATTACTGCCAAAGTTATGGCCCTTGATTTTCAACGATTTCCGCTCTGAAGGCTAAAGTTATCATCCGATTGACTTCAGATTGATACACAGAGTTTAAGATCTTGAGACGAACAAGTATATTGATTTTCAATGAATTTTTATGACAACTGTTGTTGACTGCCCGGACGATTTAGCTGCTGTGGGCGTATGTTTCGTTGCCTGGCAACCTATCTTTTGAATACTTCCGGTATGGAGATTATTGTCGGGATAGTTTTAACAACCGGATTGGCTTATCAAATAGCCACAGGGCTATGTAATGATATATTACATTGTGTGATCAGATAAAATGCCCCTGGGAAATCCTATGTTCAATAGTGCCAAAAATGCAAAAATGTCAATATATCAAAAATTAAATTTAAATATTTCAATACATATTATACATCGTTAGAATCGTAATTAGGTCAGCTATCTGAATGTGTAACTTTTTTGTAAAAATTTGTTTAAATAATAAAGTAATAGAGCTTTTTCCAAAATTTCACGATTTTTCAACTTTTTTCGATTTTCAGTCCCTTTTTTATCCTATTCCAGACATTTCAATGTCTTATTGGATGAATTCATGCACAAGACTACCAGAGGGACACTCGATAGGGAAAGTTTAAGAAAAATCCTTGGAGCAGTTTTCGAGATACAGGCGTCCAAAAACCTCCAAATCAGAAAATACTAGATTTTCAGCGTGACATATTTTGCTGCCTGGTCATATAGTATACGTATGAATTGGGTATCATACAACAGTCCAATCCTCGTGCCAACCAACGATAACTTAATTTGTTTAATCCGTTGATATCGGATGGGGAAATCGTGTTTTTCCCAAAAGCATCCATTTTTTGCGTGTTTTTTTTCAAAATATTTGACATTATTTCGACTACTTCCGGTTGACAGATCGTTGTTATAAAATGGGCAAAGAATTTGAAAAATAAAGGGCACTGATAACTCTGAATGAAACTTATATTACTGGAATCGGATGGATTTAAGGTATCCAAAAATTTTCGAACGACAGAAGTCAACAGTGAAGT